TGTATAACAAAAACATCAATCAATACAAACTACATTTGTATAAAATTAAAAGATAGTATATTACAAAAATAGGTACAATGTTGAATAAAATCGATGTCGATGCATTCGACGAGTATCATGAATTAAATAGAGATATAAAAGATATAAATGTACATGTAATAAAATAAAACAAAATATAATACAATATACAAAGAAAATTACAAACAATAACTAACTAGAATGAGCAAACTTTAAAGCAAATGTATTGCAAAGAGTTTTTTAAGTACGAAAATTATAGTAAAATAAGCAAGTTACAGTAATGTTACAATGTAGGCCAGACATTATATAGCATCGTTGGATTGAAATTATTTCAAAAATATACATTTTCATTACTTTTTACTATACAAAAAATATCTTTGGTATATATTTTTAATTTATAACAAGAACATTATTTAATGTTAACAATTTTTACAAAAACAACATTTTAATAAGCTGATTGTTTAGCAAAGACTCTGTGACAAGGTTTCATCAAGAGGGCAATTACATTTAAACACTAAATAAATCATTAAAAATTATAGCCCGGTCAAAATAGACATTTCAAATAACGAAGATTCCGACAGAGCTAAATTTTGGTGGAGACCTTGGTACACCATTAGAAATAATGTGTCAAAAGTCCCCATCGATCCCAAGTGAGCTAAAAAACTTATTCGGGGTCAAAGGTCAAAATTTGAGGTTTTTTGGATTTTTTTCGGAAACGGTAAGTTTTATCAAAAAAGTAGACCAGACAAAAATCATAGACCTTTAAATTGTCTACAAAAATGGTACTTATACTTTTTTAAAAGAATAACCATTCCTGAGATATCGCGATTCTAATAGTTGAAGGAGTCACGTTCTACGTGATATGCACACATTTCCACACCACCTGTGAGGTAGTGTACTTTGACGCAATTTTTTAACGTGGTTTCCCCGGTAGGCTTACTCCATGAACTGTTATGACGGAATTTTCAGGAACAATACTCTTAACTGCATGATGATTATTGATATTGATATTGGTTATTGACTTTAACTGTAGTTCTGATTTCTTTTAATATTTTAATCTGATTCATACTCTTCAAAGTCGACTTCAACAGTAATGTCTTCTTCGATTTCTTCTTCTTCTTCTTCCTCTTCTTCTTGCTGGATGTTCATAAATAGTTCAAATGAAGATGAATCAGCTGTGTCTTCATCGAAATCACATAAATCTTCGTCTGTTGTATTCAATTGGACTTTTGAGCAAGACTGGCTTTGGCAATCACGCTGGAGAACGCAGTAACCCTACTCTTCTACAGCCACATTTAGCACTACAACCTTTTTTGCAATTGCAAAAAATAGTGTTTAGGAGTTTTTTCCGGAGCAGGTGGGAGTAAAGTTTGAATCAGTTCCAAAGCATTATCTGTTAATTTCCAACCCCAGTCTTCTGGGTTCAGTTGATTGCCTAGCCATGTCTGAACTTGATACAAGTGTTGATTAGCAAAAGCTGATGTTGGAGGAAGACAAGATAGTTGTACTTGTTTCTTGTTCCGTGTATTTTTTACAGAAGTTAAATATCTATATTTATCTATACAATCAATTTTTTTTGGAGCTCCTTAACAGCAAGGAGAAAGCGAATTCCTTTTGTGATTATTGTTTGAGGTGAAAAATCAATTTCTGCAATCAATCAAATAGTTTTTTCCAAATTATTTTAATACTGATGTTTTACCCCTTCTGAACATTGCTGATGTAGTATCGCAGCCGGTTATCGCATGTAAAAATAAGATATGGTTTTGGCATTTTAGATAAGCAGATAAAAGTTTTGAAGAATATATTTCTGTTCGCTGTTGAGCCTTTCCAGGTTTTAAAAAGTATATAATTTTATCAATTGGAGTCCTTGCAGTGAGTAGTATTAATAAGTCAACATCTTCACCAACTACAATAGTTGTATTTGTTGCATTAAATTGTTCTATCGCTGTTTCAGTTATAAGGACATCTGCGTCATTTTGACTAAGGGACTGAGTTTCTTTTGAGTGTATATTCTCAGAATAGTATAGTTTATACATACAAGAGACACAAATAGGCATTTTTACTTGCATTAAGTGCCTGACTATGTATATACGTGGCATATGAGGGTGGTCTGGAAAGTTTCCGACCTCAACATGAAGATGGCAGCACTCGTAAATAAAAGCTAGTGAATTTCGTTGTTCATCTGTTGACAGTTACTCACCAAAGTTTCAGCCATTTTGGACGCGCAATTGTTATGTAACAGTCGTTCGAGTGAGTTGATGTGAGTGTTTTTATGTAAATGGACAAAATGGGGACTCTGGACCATCATTTACACAGTGAAATTTTGGGCAGCTGAATTTAAACGTAGCCGTAAGAGCTTGGGAGATGATGAACGTTCGGGACGTCAAAAAACTGCAGCTACGGACGAAAACATCGCCAAAGTTCACCAAATGGTGCTAGACGACCGCCGAATTAAAGTGAGAGTGATAGCAGAGGTCATGAACATGTCAAAAGAACGTGTTTGTCGCATATTAAATCAACAACAACAACAAGCGACTTCTTTTTGTTCCCTCATCTAAAAATTGCGCTCGGAGGACAGAGATTATCGTCGAATGAAGAGGCAATCACCTTCGTGAACAATTATTTTGCAGAGAAAAACACCGAGTACTATTTGGACGGGTTACAGAGATGGGAGAATCGCTGGGAGAAGTGTGTAGAGTTACAAGGAGACTATGTTGAAAAATAAAAAAAAAATTCTGAAAAAATGTCTTGTATCTTTGTTAGGTCGGAAACTTTTCAGACCACCCTCGTATATGTGCATATCATGTAGAACGTGACTCCTTCAACTTTTAGAATTGCGATGTCTCAGGAATGGTGGTTCTTAGAAAAAAAAGTATAAGGAGCATTTTTGTAGATAATTTTCAGATCTATAATTTTTGTCAGAGTACTTTTTTGATAAAACTTGCCGTTTTCGAAAAAAATCCAAAAAACCTCAAATTTTGACTTTTGACCCTGAATAACTTTTTTGGCACACATGGGATCGGTGGGGACTTTTGACATTTTATTTCTAAAGGTGTACCTAAGGTCCCCACCAAAATTTAGCACTGTCGAAATTTTCCTTACTTGACCACTATTTTTTGACTAATTTGACCGGACCCTGTGGCGGATGACAAAATCCTGTCACAAACCGTGTTAGGAATTTAATGGAATGAAACGAAAATAACACAAAAAAAAAACGAAAACATCGAGTTACGCTATTTTGGAAGCTCATAGACGTGTCAAATAATCACTCTATAAAATGTTTCTTCTATAAATTTTCTAGACAACAAAACCGTTTCCACTTTTGAAATTTGACTATTTTTTAGGAATTGACATGTTAAAATAAATCGGTTGTTAAACTTACCGATCCTGATATGTACACTAACTATTAGAAACATATGCATATCTTTTCTCGCTATGCTCTTTTTCGTTCACATGGCACATGGAAGTATGAATTATAATAATTAATAAAGGAAAACCTTTTATATATCCACAGTAAATTTAATTGACATCAAATAATCCATTTAATATTTCTTTAAATACCCAACAAGTGACTTGCTACTTTTGTGTTTCCTACAAAGGAAAGTGTGCCAAAAATTGGAATTTACAAATTGACTGTGTTTTTAATATCAAGACGTCGCGTCGCGAAATCGTTTCACTTGAACATATTTTTTATTAGACAACTTTTTTGGAAACTGTCTGGTGAATTAATTTAAAAATTTGCGGGTTTCTTTAATTCGACGGTTTAAATTAAAATTAGCATAATTAGGAAGTACCCTGTTCACAGTAACTGACATAAATAGAAAAATAAGTAAACTGAATTAGGAGGCTTAAATATTAAAAAAAACTAAGGCTTTTTGTTAAAATAAAAATAACTCATTTAGAGGGAAAAAAAAAGGAAATTGTTACCTGGACTTTTATAAGTGGAAATGGTGAAGAGGCTTATAATAAACGAAAAAAAATAAATGCGTGAGCAGGGGCGGCGGAGGATTGATTTGGGGGGGTTGAAAAGTTATGAAAAATTGTATCATTGGGATTTCTGGCGAAAGTTGATGTCAGACAAAAAAGTATCTTTTACAAAAGTTGTGGATCATGCAAAAATCTACAACTTTTGTAGAGGTCACCTTTTAACATAACCTCAAAATTTCCAAGAAAAATGCGAAAAACATGTTTTATTCTGATTTTTCGTTTTTTGAAACTTGGTATTTTTTGTATTTTTTTTTTTCTGTACAATTGAATGGTGTAATCAGTTTTTGTTTTTTTTTTAAATTTAAACAAATTATCAACAATTACTGAAAAATTCATTGCCGCGTCATTTTTTTACTTTTTTGCATTTTTGAGCATGTTTTGAACTATTGTTACAGATTTTAAAAAGTATATGTCAAAACGAAAAATATGATTACCGGCAGAACTCTGTACGATAATTATTTTAAGTAGAATTTTTCTTTGAAAAAAAAAGTGTTTCAGGCCGAAAAAAATGAATATCTCAGAAACTTCTTGATTTTTTTATCTAAAAAAATTTGAGGTTATTTAAGACAGAGAAAGGTGTACTTTCACCAAGTTTCGTCAAAATTAAATTATTTTTGCGGAAATGAGAAATAAAAAACGAAAAATAAAAAAAATCTGTTTTTCGCATTTTTCTTGGAAATTTTGAGGTTATGTTAGAAAGTGACCTCTACAAAAATTGTAGATTTTTGCATGATCTACAACTTTAGTAGTGGATACTTTTTTGTTTGACGTCAACTTTCGCCAGAAATCCCAGTGATACAATTTTTCATAACTTTTCAACCCCCCAAAAAAACCCTCCACCGCCCCTGCTCACGCATTTATTTTTTTTAGGTTTATTATAAGCCCTTTTACCATTTCCACTTATAAAAGTCTGGGTAACAATTTTTTTTTCTCCAAGTGTAACTTGGTTGGACTATTTTATAATTATTATAACTACTGTGGTTCAGAATAATAATAATGTAATAAAATACCAAAAAATAAGTTTTTCCAAACAAGGCGACAAGAGTTGTTTTTTTTTTAATTAAATTTTCCACAAGTTTTAAAAGCAAACAACATATTGAAGTTTGGTAGAATGCTATCTTTTTGAGGATGCTAAGTAGCCCGGTTAGTAACCAAAAATGCTAATGTAGGTTAATATTTTTTAAGGTTATGCAAAAATTGGTAAGATGTCAAGTGTTATTCCCCTTTTATTAAATTAAATTAATCAAACCAGATCATTTAACGTCTTAAACATGGTTTACCAAAAATCAATATTATACGTCGATTGCTTTTGGAAACATGGGCAAAATTTACTAAGAAAAATAACTTTAGAAAAAATCGTTTTATTTTACTTTCCTCATATGATAAAAAAATGTTATTGGCGGATCCTTTAGTTTTATTTGTGAGCACTATCAGTTTTCTATCTTTGTCGGACATGAAACTACGAGTGTACCTCCAGATTATCCTCGTCCTTTAAACATTTCTAATAGGCCCGCCACACGACAGCGGCCTACTTTTACGGTATATGCGTATGAGTAAATAAATAAGAGGATTTTATTCTGTCTTCTGTCGGCAGCAGCGGCAAAGTACGCCATCTGTAGTTGGTGCGGCAAACGACACACCCGAGTAACCTTTAATTCTACTGTCTATTAGATGTCGCTGCGCCATAATGGCGGTAAATTTAAATGTAATAAAATACATTAAGAAAAATAAAAAGGTATTTCATAAGTAATAGGTCACAAAACAGCTACTAACAGCTGTTTCATGACGCATCACTTATGAAACACTTTAATTATCGCTTGGTTAAATGAAAAAGTTAAAGCAGTGATTTTAAAATGAGCGACAAATATTCATTCTGTCACGAATTCGAATATATTTAAGTATCAAAAAATGTACTAGCAGAGAAAAATTATGGTTAAATATATTTGTTTCGAAATAAGTGGTTCTCATCAGTGATTTCTTTTAAATGTTTAAAAACGAATAAAAACAGTAAGGCAGTTCAGAAGATTGATTCAATAAATCCCTTATTACATTAATCTAAAACGAAACAAATTTATTAATGCACAAAACTCAGCAACCCACCCGAACTTATGTTCAGTAAAAACTATTTATTTCTGTTGATTGAAAGATTGGAAATACAGATCCGATCTGTAGTTACAGATTTCTGTTTAACAACTTCTATAAGGGACAATGTTTTGCCACACCAACACGAGATGGCCTCAGCGAACGCATGCTCCGTCTGCCCTATCCAATCAAATTCTCTTATTTATTTACTCATATGGGTATATGTAGTTTACGCGATAAACACGGAACATTGTGACCTGGTCACATAATGCAGATAAGGTTGTGAAACTTCAGTACCTATCAAAGCTTCCTTCGGGAAAGGTCAAACCGTATCAATGGGATATGAGCAATGATTACAAATACAAAGGAAAATAAATAGAGACCACCTCCTAAAATTTTGATAGATTTTTTAGTTCTGATTATTCTTTAAACTTCACCTTTTAAAGACATGGCAATAATTTTGCCAATATCCGCGATTTACGCAAGTAAGACCTACTCGTGTGCAGGCCCTTAACGAAAACGTAATTTTACAAAAATTATGAAGTAAAACACGGAACAGGCCCATGAAAATGGTTAGACATATAGCTCCCCTACTGATTGTAATACTATTTGGATTTGAAAAAATATGCAGCTGTCCAGTACAAAAACAGTACCATCTGATTAATTTTTAATCAATAATTCGGTCAATTAATTTAATTGTCTAGTAAAAATTTACAACAGGACTGTTCGTTTCGGCGTAGAATCCTACCAAAATTGAACAATTAGTTAAAAAAAAATCGATTCATATAATTACTCAGTCTTCTCGTATAAATTCACTTAAATCTTTACAAAATCACCGTCGCGACGCATTCATTATACGTGCGTGGCCATCGTGCCCCTCTTGATGGTGGCCATCGTCGTGTTCGGCACTATGTACTGACTGGTGGGGGAGTTGGGGAGGCGCGTCACCTGGGGAACGGACCCGTTGGCACCGTTCGCCACCACCGTGTTAACCACGTTCGCACTGGCGGTGATCATGGCACTGGAGCTGGCCAGCCTGGAGTTCTCCCTGGAGTAGGGGGGCGGCGCGGGGGTGGCCGCGGGGTTCGCCGTGTTGGGGGTGGGCAGCCCCACGTTGGGATTCCTTAGGTACGGGTTTCCGTACGTGGCGCTGAACCGGGGGTCTATGCCGGGCAGTCCTCCGTTGGGGATGGCCTGGTGGGCCACGTGGAGGTCCGAGAGATCGTTCAGGGGTAGACTAGAACCCGAGACTGGTATCTGGTGGGACTGGAGGGAGTTCAGTTGGAGGCGCGTGGATTGGAGGCTCTCCCTGGTCGGGTCCAGGGACGAGGAGATGGGTGGCTGCATCATGGGGGGGTTGTAGTCTCGGGAGTAGTCCACGTAGGGGACGTAGCCGTTGTTGTTTTGCCCGTCCTGTAACAAAGGGTTTTTTATTTGTAGGAAAACGTATCCAACTGGCGACAATATGAGTAGATTGGTGTAGGGCATTAATTCCCATAATAATAAAAATCCAATGGAAAACATCTTTCAGGTTATATTCCGTGAAGAATCTACACCGCCGACCTTAAGAATCTGTCAACTCTTTCCAAAGACTTAGTGCTGGCAAAAATCGGAAAAAAGTGAAACCGGTTAACCGGGTTCCGTAAAAACCGATTTCAGATAAAACCGGTTAGTCGAATAGTTGCTAAAACCGGTTATTCGAATAACCCGTTACTTGAATCGCCAAAACCGGATACCTGAAAATCGGTGCGTTACAAAGACAGACCCGGAGAAATTGTCTAAAAAAAAGGTCTTTACAAAAATCTGGAAGTCAAATTTGTTTACGAAGAAATCGATCTCTAAAAAAAAAGTCAATTGCAATCGGACAAATCGATGTCTAAAACAAAAGGAAGTAGATCATCGAATAATCGGATATTTGAAGATTGAAGATTCAAATAACCGAATAACCGGTTTTCGGGTATTTGAAGAATCGAATAACCGAATAACCGGTTTTCGGATTTCATAAAAATCCGAATTATCCGAAACCGGTTAACCAACTATCCAAAAAACCGATTTCAGTTGCCAGCACTACTCACAATAAGATTCCGGAAAATAGATCAATTTTGATCAGATGAAAGACTGAAAGTAATTTCGTACAGATTTCGATCAAACACTTTGAAAAACGAATGACAGTTCCCAAAGTTTTATAAGCTTCCTTCGATATATATTTTGGTGATAAGTTAATTTAGCATCAAATACAACGCCAGGGTTTGCTAATATTCAAGCAAGGAATCCTGATATAATACCATTTACTTTAGGTACGTGTTAATGTAGGGACATTGCACTTCTATGCATTTAAATTCAAATTTGTTCTTAACCTATTTCCTTTAGATCATAAGCGTACAGCAGACGGTGCGATGTTTTGTCGTTAATAACTACTGTGAATCAAAGCAGGTCCAAAATAGATCCCTGAAGTACAACCGATTACCGCACGAATCCTTCAGACCTGAAGCCACGCAATTGAACAGACTGGTATCGATTCTGTAGATATGACTTCAGAATTTTGCGGATATAGGTGCAATTAAAAATAGAATAGGTGTAAAAAAAAAATTTTTAGATTTCGAAAAAAGTGTTTAAAATTATACATATTATATATATTAGGGTGGCCCAAAAAGATACGAACATTTTTTTTTCCATGTCTTGTGAAAATATGTTAGTTTAGTTAGTTTAAGAGCTCCCTCAAAAAATTAGCTCAAAAAAATTTTTTGAGAGGTTGCTCAAGATTTTTAAAAATTTCCAAAATCGGCAAAAATTGAAAAATATCTCGAATCTGAATATTTCAAATCGATATTTTAATTTCTAAAAATCATTCATAATTATTTTAACTTTCAAAGTAGTTTACTTATGTTTTCGAGCGACCTCTAGGTAAATATAAATATCAACCAACTAATATTTTTTTTATTGAATTTAAAAAAAAGAATAGAAATAAATCACTTAGATACTTAAATTTTAAAAAATTATAAATATTTGATACAGTGCCGTAGTATATTTTGCCTCGAGAAATTTTTTAAGTGTCTTGTGATTAATTTCTATTTTTTTGTTCATCAAATTCAATAAAAAAATTATTAGTTCGTTGATATTTATTTACAAAGGTCGTTCGAAAACATTGTAGGTACACTAATTTTAAAGTTAAAATAAATATGACCTTTAGAAATTAAAATATCGATTTGAAATTTGCTGGTGAAATATAATTATTTTTCCCGTAATCTGTTCCTCTTAAGCTTTAAAACACTATTTTTTGTTTTTTTTTATCTTTTTTTCTACGAGGCGCTACTTAATTTTGTCCATACCTAAGTCCAAATAAATTATAGTGCGGCACCTGTGAAGTGTCAGTCAGTGTGTGTCAGTACACTTTTGACTTGCCGGTGAATTGCTGCTAAGTTGTGTCAAAAAGATCGCGCTTCTACTGTTTAGACGTTAAGTGTTTATTAAAGACGTTTCTTATTTTTTATTTTTTAAGTTATTGTTTTAACTAAATAAGCAATGGATAACGAGGACAACAATAATACGTTTACTACTATCGAACGATAGTGGTAAGTTTGCATCTTTTTTATTTGTGGTGATCCAACCTATCACTTGCTAAAATAATGGTAGTATTTTCTATAACATCATGTACTTTGTTTCTACAAACCTCTTGCCTCTTGTCTGGGATTGCACATTATCATTTACAGTGAAATAACTAATAATTGAATTTTATGTTTATTATTCCTTTTAATTAAAACGAGGGGATTGTATTAAACTGGCCAAAATTATTTATTGTTGCATTAAAACATTTTGTCTCTTTTGTGTGTATTTCATACATTTTAATTTGGCAACACTGATTTGCGCAAAGGCTTGACTCTCTGTTAGGTTCGGTTCGGCAAGCGTGCGCTGATGTTAATCGAATGGCATGACATTTTTTTGACCAGGACCATACTAAGATTTATTTCTTCGCTACAAAGTTCAACTTTCTTGACAAAACGTGGATATATGAATTTCTTATATAAGGCTTTTTTATTACACATATTCCTAGGAATCAGCATTTTATTTTTTCTGCACTAAAGACGCCACACCCTGTATATTACCAGTTAAATTTTTACACATCAGAGTTCAGGTAAATAAAAATACAATTTCCACATATGCTATGCTTCCAATGATTGACTGATTAATGCACAAAAAATGCAAACCATTTGTTGCTTCTGTGTAACAGCTTTATATCAGCAATCGGCATTACCTTAGTATGAACTAAGGCCGTTCGGGGTAGTGGGCCATAAATAATTTCTCAATCGGTTAACAGACTTACCTTGGGAGGGAAGCTGGGCTCGGTGTAATCTGCGGAATATCTATAAATTTCCTGGCCCGAAACATTCACCGGTCCCGCCAACGGAACACCTATCCTAGTAATAACCGACTCGCTTCCCGTTTCCGATTCCGCTCCGGGGATATAATCCATGTCGCAGTGGACGTTGCTGTTGGAGGAGCCGGTCCTTAGGTCCAACTTCAGGTCCGAGATGTTCGAACTCCTGTCCGATTCCTTGCATTGTTTCTCGATCGTATTTGCGTCTGCTGGAAAATAGCGGGTTAGTGAAACGAGATCGGTGACAACGTCGAATCACTTACTCTCCGGGGGTGATTTCTTGCTGTTCTGGCGCTGGCAGAGGAACACGATCATTATTATTATGATGAGGACGATGATGGCCCCGATCACGCCGACGACTAGGATCAGCATCGGGAAGTTCTCTGGAAGGTCAGCATAGATCTATTACCTTTGTCTAAATATCCCACTTCTTGGATATAAGAGGGGGCAAGCTAATTTTTGCTGGAATACCTTCAGTACAACTCACATAATGAAAGTGTAGATCCCTAGATCTCGGCGAGGTCCGGAACATTTTCAAATTGCAAAAATGCTTAAAAAATTTTAAAAAATACCTACTTTATCTGAGTTTTTTACTTATATCTTGGAACCTATGCATTTCGGAAGAATGCACTTTTATTATGAGTTGTACTGAAGGTAATCCAAAAAAAAATTTGCTCGCCCCCTCTCACATCCACCTCAAAACAGATCCGTCCTGGTCTATAAAACAACTATGTGTATTCTCTGTATGGATATTGTAATGTGCGCTTCATTTCGCATAATGTTCAGTTAAAGCAATTGCAAAGTAAACACTTTCCAAATAAACCGCATCATTTTGTACCATGCCTTCTATCGTTGTTTAAAATTATTAAAATTCTTGTCCAACAATATCAGTTCAATTCCCTTGACTAAGCAAGGTTGGTCACTATGTTATTATCGGTTTACAAATGATTTTTATATGTACTGTTTGCTGTAATAAGTGGGCGAAGCAACGCAAGGACAAGAAATGAAAAAGCACGACGAAAACTGTTGACATACCTTATTACATCATGATTGTCCCACATCAATTTTTTTTATCGATAATAATTTGAATGTGAGTCTAATTTTTATGATTTTTAAGATAAGATCAACTTTGTCGTTGAGGTCATAACAACTCTTATAAAGCAACCACATTTTTTTGTGAAAGCAGACGCAACTAACTTAATCACTCTTCAGTGATAAAAAAGTTTCCGATCGATTCTTCGATGCCCTTCACCGCCAGAAACATACTTCTAAATTGAATATGACGTCCTGTAAATCCGTGAAAAAACGTCGGTAATGAATCACCCGTCAATAATAACGCGACTAACGATCGAACTATGGGCGATTTATTCCCGTAATGGCACTTTTTCCCGCAAAAACTTACTTTGAGGCATCAAATTAATCTCCACAACATCGCTCCCATACGGATTCGTGACACTGCAATTATACATTCCGAAGTGCCTTTCCTGAGACTCCCGGATGATTAATGTCGATTTAATGCCCTCCGGCAGCGGGTCCTCCAAGATGGAGTAGTCCTGACCGTTCGAGTCGACCTCGCGACCGTTGTACGTCCACACCACCCGCTCTGGCGCCGGTATCGAGTAGGCCGTGCATTCCACTCTGACGTTGTCGCCCTCTATGCCGAACTGAGTGCGGTGGCTCACTATCGAAGGGGGCCCTGCAAAAAGACGTTTGTCATAACCTTTCTGGATGTTTTCATCTCTTCAGAGTCAGTATAAGTGAAGTAAACAGTTCTTGAAAGCATTTGGGGACCTACCTTTGAGGTAGATGGTGGCATCAGCTCCGATTTCTGGAAAGCCAGGCACCCGAGCCTTGCAGTGGTACCGTCCGGCTGAGTTTTGGTCTACCCTTAAGGTTAGGTTGGGGCTGGAACTGACTATCTTCTTCTTGTCTTCGTGGTACCAGGAAACGTCTGGGAAAGGATTACCGTCCACGTCACAGCTCAGAGTGACGCTGGAACCGGGGTCTGCTTGGATAGAACGTGGCTTCGATCGAAACTGTGGACCGTCTGGAAAAAAAAGATACGGAAATGTATCTCGTAGACCGGCAGGAGTCAGAGCTGGCATATATGAGGTTAAGGGAAGAGTTAGAAGTATTGTAACTTGAATGATGCGCAACAGAGGACAGTTAAAATAAACAACTCACACGAGATAAAATCTAGACTGGTATGGAAACGTGTTGAGTGATTTATTAAGGCTAAAAAGTCAAAATGGCGTGGCCTCATAGCAAGGAAAATGAAATTTACAGCTATATAGAGCTCTTGCAGCTATGCAGGAGTAGGTGGTAGGAACCAGATCAAAACATCTCAATAATAATGAACTATGAGAATATAAGAAGGAAGTAATTACGATCTGGAACTTGGTTAAGGTTACAAGGCTCGCAATAGACATATGGATAGCATGTGAAACATTTACATCGAGGATGTGGAGCTTAAATAAAGAAGTTTAAAGTGACGAAACACTCTAAGGTTTTGAAGATCCACTATAGACTTACGAATGGTCTATTGGCCTATTTGAAGAAGTCAGATCAAAGATGTTTAGACAGAAAAGGTGAAAATAATGAGACACTTTAATATCATGAAGGTCCACCATAGAACTATGGGCGGCATTTCGGCAAATGTGAAGAAGGCAAGTCAAAGATGTGGATAAAAAAGATGAAGTGATGAAACGTTAAAAAATGATGAAAGTCCACCTTTGGATGCTCGCAGTGGGAAATATGTTGTACATATATATGTAACCCCTTAGACTAGTTGCAAGACTTGTTTAAATAGTACCGAAGAAGATTTCTGGACGAATTATTATTGTGAATCGATTTTTTGAAGAAACTTAAGATTCCACCAAACAATACAACACCTGAGGACCAAGAACCCACGCACTTACAGCTAATGTCCAGAGTCTGGCTCTCCTCACTCTTCCCCACTGCGTTTTGGACTTCGCACTTGGCTATAGCGTCGTGATGCTTCCTCGTGACGTTGTGGAGGATCAGCTCCGTGGTGTAGTCACCGATGAGGGGTTCCTCGTTGAGGAACCATCTGTAAGTGACGTCGGTAGGGTTGGCGTCGGCGTGGCAACCCAGTCTCACCTCTGCACCCTCAGGGATCCGACCGTTCTTGTTTAGGCCGGAAATGGTAGTTACCGTTACTTTAGGCGCGTATTTTACCTGCAACAAAAAAAGTCATGAAAATTATAAATACGCTCAATAAAAACACATTCTTTTCACAAAGAATAACTGATTGTAGGCATATGAAAATATTCTTAATTTAATTTTCTAAGCGATATCTAAAATATTAAGAACGAAATTGCGTCTGGACCCGATCTCTCAACCCTCCGCCACCCCTAAAGCGATCCTGTTTTATCAGGGCCTCTATAGAACCCTTTGTTCCGTCGTCATAACATCAATCAAGGAAATGTATAATTTATCTTAGTTTCATAAAAGCGATTCATTCTTTCGTGAAAATAAATGCCTTAAGGTATCAATAGGCAACAAAAAATGTGTTGGAAAACTTTACGGGGAGGGGCGCCAGAATGAAACGGATGGATTTTCGTCAATACCGGCAGTTATGTAAAATAATCTGTCGGGTTATTGGCAAGCGGGCGTTGCGGAGAGTTTGCGGGAATTTCAGTATTTATTGAAATAATAAATTGAAAGGAAAAACTTCAGTCTTTCTGGATGGTACGTCAAAGAAACTACGAGAGAATAAGATAAAGAATTGAATTTGTATTATTTGATTTTAAAAATTATACATTTCTTAATTTTTTCTTATTTTGGATTGGTCAAAGTAACACAAAAGTTTTTAAAAGGACAGAAATTTTAGAACAACATTAACGTCATGTTTACTATTTGAGGTCACCCGAACAATTTTGAAGTGAACTGTACTCTCAATTATAATATAACATAATCCGTTCGGTTATCCCGAGTCGTGTTCACCGAAAGTTAGGCATTTAACGCCGCTCCAGAGACCGAGTGGGCATCGCCTAAATGGCGGCATTTTACCGTCCCGCAAGGCAGCGAATAAAACGAAACGGCCCCATAACGATAACCATAGACTGACCTCTAATTTTAATCTAGCTGATCTATGTGTTCTTTCCGCCGTGTTCTGGGCCTGGCACGTAAAGGTCGTGTTGTGGTGTATCTTCCTCGGAGTTAATTTCAATATGGACTTCGCCGTGAACCTTCGGCCGTCGGACAGCTTCTCCACAATGTACTCCATGCCGTCGGTCAGGACGTTGCCTGGAACAATCAATTATCGGGATTAATTAACGTGTACGAGCCCTGTAGAATTAAGTAATGGGATAAGTGTCTATTTATTACAGAATTTAATGAAAATTTCAATGAGACAGACTGACAGTGAGTCATAACCGGCTTGGTAACATCCATTCACGTAAGTGTTATTCCAAAACCACGTACCTAACCCATCAATCCAAGTGATCTCAGCAGCCGGCTTACCACCGTAGCTGATACACTCCAGTTCTATTTCCCTGTCTTCGGTGGTGACCAGGTAGTCCCCCTGGACGATTTTTGGGGGATCCGGGGGCACCAACACCGTCAATTTGGCGACGTGGCTTCTTATTCCGGGCTGACCCCTGGATCCTGGGGAGACTTGGCACTCGTACCGGGCGTCGTCGTCCAACATTACCGGGTAGATTTCTAACGAATAGTCACCTGGAACAATAGCAGACTTTTAAATTATGAAAAAATGTTTCTTAAGTACAAAACGGACCTTAACGAGTCCCGATTCAAACCATCTAAACAGATTTTTACTTTTGTTTTTCGTTATGGTCCCGAGACGCGAACTTTGGGTCACCCTGGACACGAACATTCCCGAAAAATGCCCCATTCCGTCCCCCGTCGCAGTTACACGATCCCTATCGACGCTCCGGCGAAACTTTCCGTCGGATTGATCTCCCGGACCGGCTGGATGGCGGCATTGTATTTGTTAATCGGAAGCAATTTCGCGCCGCCAAGAAGTTGGGGAAAGTTTCTAGATCTGCCCCCTCGACACGTGCTCATAATTTCCAGGGCAAATATTAGCCGGGCTAGACTCTCGCGCCACTCCAATTAGCAGCGTTCCGCGATAATTACTAAAGTACATAAGCATTGACACCTTCGTAGCGAAAATTCGGGGAAGCGCCACGCCGGTTCCGATCTTCTATTTAATTTGTGTCTACCTGTTAAGAGTAAATACTCATTTAGTCGCGACCGGGCCCGAATCACGGGTTTTAATTGCTTTATTTACCCGAATCGTCGCTGCGGGATGATTAAATTATTTTAGTTTGGCTCCTCGCGCCAGATACCCGAAGGTCCTCGACATGTTCGGGGCTCTAAGAAATTAGATACGCTAAGATTGACTACCGGGTCATCTGCGAAGAGTTGGGAGAAAGCTAATCTCGTGTACTGGCTGTTGTACTTATTATTCACCAATAATACAATATTTATGAATAGATAGGTGGAAAATTTGATCCAGCAAATCAAAACAGTTTCGCTAGCAATACAATTCGTTGAATAAAAATGGTAGAATTGAATGTTACAGGTCTTTTAAATACATACTATAAAATGCAGTACTTATATGTAATACGTCAAATAGAATTGCACGGCAAATAGAATACTGATAATTGAAAAAAACTGAAAAATTGAAGAGCAGTTTTTTCTTTTGTTTTAAACAATATGACGCTCGACCTCTACAAACACACAAATTTAGGCTTTTATTCTGTGCATTTTTTACTTAAATTTAAGTCCATAATATTTGAGTTAGGCACGATTTATGAAAAAAAATCACCCGGACTATAAGCAATCACCTACGGAACTAATGGTAAAGTTATTCATACCAAGACAAATAACAGCTTATTAAAATCAACTACTTGATAAATGTCGTTAATAAAAACGATAAATAATAAAGGCCCAAGGTTTGAACCCTGAGGGACTCCTGAACTTGCAAAGTAATTGAGTGATAGAAACCCATTATAAGAACCAATTCAAATCGTACTCTCTTATTCAAGCATGTAAAATCTGTATAGTGTCCGCCTGACCGCCATTATCTAAGGTGTCAGAGAATACTACAGACAGATCCGGAATGATTGAAGTGTTTGGAGATCGCAGCCTGTGCCTGTCTCTGTCAATACTACATATTTTTATATGCTAAAGATGGTGTTAGAAACAGGCAGCGTTCCCCAAACGCTTCAACCAACTCTCGATAATTGACCCCTGACAACATTGTGAAGGTTTTGAGCTGAACCAAACAAATTATAAAATAATAAAATACGTTTTTTTTAAGAGGTTATAACCAAAGCAATTGCGAATTTGTCCCTGTAGGGTCCCCCTTGGGGGGACGAAAATAAACAATGGTATGGCCGTGCGCCCTAATAAAAAAAACGGCCCGAGTGATTGGCACACCTACAATGCCTAACGAGTTCATAAAAGCAGAAGCTTTATTAGGGTCCTACGAAAACGCTCTGGCCTGTTGGGAATTGTAAAGGTTAATGTCTGGCTCCGTTTTAAGGAAAAGGTCTGGAATTTCCTACAAATTGCCGAGGAGACACCGATATTAACTCTTTCCACTTCTTTTATGACATGCCGGTTTTACGATCTCTAGTTATTATTATTACGGTCGTTATGATCGTCTCGTACGGTTTTATCGTGAATTCGGAACGGTGTATCGCGAGCGGAGAGACACTGGTCCATTTAGAACCCCTATATATTACGTTTTGATGGCGGTGGTCAAATAACAATACAGCGTAATTATATTACCCTAAAAAATTGCTTGCTTACTCTCGCTGGCAACGCGGCAGGGTTTATAGTTGCTCGAATTATAGGGAGGATTTGTTTTCCCTTTCATGCGGGCTCGTTGTCGTTATGGTATTGCGGAAATTTCAAAAAGAAGACTCTTGTCCTGGATTACACACATTTATTTTACGAGCGGGAGCATTAGCTCGCCCCGAGAACCGGAGGAACTGCGAATTTTGAAATGCGGATGACCTTTGGGCGCCTGAAAACACGACAAAACTGGCACAATTACGAAAATTTGATTTAACGCGATGTGCTCGTAAATTCTTCACTTAAACTCGTATTTGGTGCATCTAAATCAGAGAAAATGTTTTCATGACTGAGTGAGTTTAAATGTATATTAATTTCGAATAACTTGAATGGCGCCTTGAAGATGGCACCACTTACGTATTGCTTCTGTAATCTCGACCACAGTATATAGGGGCCAGTTAGATGCTCTAGAAAAGCGTGATCGCCAGGAGAACAGGCCTCAGCCCGCAGCGGCGGGTCTCAGCTGGGGAGTCTCAGCCAGGACAGGAGGAGGCCCCCGCGTAGAGAATATTTCAACACTATATACTAATTAATCATTAATGAGTGATTTAACTTTCTTTAGGTCCTGTTTTTACTAAAACCCAATGATATAGGAGAAAAAAATCATAAACTCACCCGAGTTTGAATTTCAGAGAAATATTATCGAACAAGTCCAATTTGGTTCAACTCGTATAGACATTTTTCTTAAGATTTTAAATTATTAAGCATTTATTACACCTTTCTTACCTCTTTAAAATGTCCCGAGGGAAATAGGTCGGTTTAGTTCATGTTTTGTGAATTTGGATAACTACATCAACAAAATATAAGGTCTGACCAGCCACATCCACTAATTGAGGTAATCTAATTAGCCGATGTAGGTACTAATTAGGGAACGGACGAAGAGTCCGAGGCAGTCCGACAAGCTTAGACAAATGCGGTAAATAGTAGGGAATACAACAGGGACGAAAATTTTAAAGTCCAGGGGATCCGTGAAGTTACACACTACTGACCGCGAGTCATAAATAAAATACGGACACTAAGTGGAAATTTGGACAGCGTCAGTTTCACGTATAGTTAATATTTGCAACGTTTTCCTTTAAATTAATTATAATACATATAGTAAAATAAGGAAATTAGTAGAATAAAGTAGTAGTCATCAGTTTTCTATCACATTTTTTCACAAATTTAATTTAATTTACGTGAAACTAAAGGAAAACACAGCACTGGATTTTTAGATGGTACTGTTATATCCACTGAAACCTTTAAAATTATATTCGGCGTTAACTTACCAACAAACAGTGAAATAAACAAAGCCCACAAACTGATTAGAGTCCATCAGTATGTTGACATTCTATCAATATTTACCAGAGCGTGAAATTTTAGCGGTACTGCCAGGCGCGTGGTACCGAAAATAAAAACGAGAGAAAAACTACACGCAAAAAAATTTCTTGATTCAAATGTACAACATTTGATTTTAAGGTATCGCACGTTTTTATATACGCAAGAAAATATTTTCCTTCTTTCAAGAAAATTATTTATTTATTTAAATACTTTTTTCTACCCAGAAATATTTCTTATTGATACTTACGGTTAAGTGAATTATATTCTTAATTTTATGATCTACATAGATTTTATAGAAACATGTTTTGTATTGTATATTAATGTATCGTTTGTTTAATACAAAATTGAATAGTTTTTGTCAAACGATTGTATTTATATATATTTTCCAGTAATAAAAAATATTTCTTGTTTCGAACTGTTCGTAACCTATGTGAACCTGGCACCCGACTTTTCAAAATTCAAAATTTTTTTTGAAATTCTTATAGATTTTCGTTTGTAGTTGTTTGTAGTAACAATATTTTCGTTTGTAGTAGCTCAAGAAAAGAGTTATATGGCCTATAAGAAAACCCATCCCCCCAATTTAGCCGCACTTAAATCTGATGGTTGATTCCTATAGAAAATCGTTTGTAGTTGATTGTAGTGAACGAATTTTCGTTTATAGTAGCAAGGAAAAAACGTTAGAGCTATTTTAAAAATTTGCCATGAGTAAATTTAGAGAGCGCTTCTAATTTCAAGTTTATTTGTGTATAATAACTTCTATACGTCAAATTATTTTTTAAAATTGTTTAAAGTTATTTGTAGTTGCACATATTTCGTTTGTAGTTTAACGAAAACTAACTAAAAGTCACTACATTCCAAACTATGGCTCCAAAATCGTTTGTAGTTGTTTGTAGTAGCGTTTATTTCGTTTGTAGTTATATGAAAACTGACGAAAAGTCACTAAACTCCAAGCTCTGGCTTTAAAATCGTTTGTAGTTGTTTGTAGTAGCGTTTATTTCGTTTGTAGTTCTTTGAAAACTGATGAAAACTCACCAAACTCCAAGCTCTGGCTTTAAAATCGCTTGCAGTTGTTTGTAGTAGCGTTTATTTCGTTTGTAGTTCTTTGAAAACTGATGAAAACTCACCAAACTCCAAGCTCTGGCTTTAAAATCGCTTGCAGTTGTTTGTAGTAGCGTTTATTTCGTTTGTAGTTCTCCAAAAACTGTCGAAAAGTCACTAAACTCCAAGCTCTGGCTTCAAAAGCGTTTGTAGTTGTTTGTAGTAGCATTTATTTCATTTGTAGGTACATGGAAACTGACGAAAAGTCACTAAACTCCAAGCTATGGCTTTAAAATCGTTAGTAGTTTCTGTGATAGCGTGACTTAACAAAGCCCCTCCATATCTTTTTAACCGTTGAAAATATCAAAAAAGTAACTCTGGCGTCCCTCTAGCATTTCGTTTGAGGAATCCAGCAAACCAAACCGCACCCTTCTAGGTCGAGAAATAAAAAAGTTACAGGCTGTTCGCCTATTTAAAGAGTCATGTGACTTAAA